TATATATATGTTTACATATAGATATATACACACACGCATGCATATGCACGCGTGTAAGACAACATGCAGATAAATTTAGGTACACGCAGGGAACAATGTTATTGGTGGAGCTTAAGATTGAGCTGTCAAGGGAATCTATGCAAAGCGAGCGAACGTCCTCAACCTAACATCATGTGCAGGATATCGCATGGTATAAACAGACTATATGACATAATGTAAGTAAGCTATGTGTTTTTCTAACATACTAGGTTAAAGATAATAATCATATCATGTAGCAACAATCCGGGATGCACTTTCAGGAGGCTTCGCTACACCCACCCGGACAGTGTGCTCGAGGGATGGGCCGGAGACCTATGTGTTTTTTGTTCTGCTGCCCCGCGGGTTTCCCGCTTGGCTTCATAGGGTTGTCTGGAGGTTTGTAGGACTTCTCGGGCTGTAACCAAAAGTTTGACTGACAACCCCACTGGGCCCTTCGGAACAAACATAGCATCCTAAATTCTGGGGTTGGGGTCCATAAATCTAAACAATGCCCGCAGCCCTTTCTTTGGCCCCCCCAAACTCATCGAAACATCAAGCCCGTTCCCCCAAGGCCTAAACCGTAAACACTCCAATAGAACCCTTTCCAAGACCTGGTTAACCCCCTTCGAAGCTTCTTCAGCCCCAGTTAACTTTATCCAAAAGCCGTAAGGTGTGGAAGCGCAGCCGCTTCCTCAAGCGCTGGCGGCGGCGATGGTTGGCCGGAGCCTTTCCAGTACCTTCTTCGGGTTTTGCCGTTTGTGATCTACGGGCTCAGAGTCAATGCTTTAGATCGTATGCTTTCGCACTTTAGATAGCAGGGCTTAAGAGTTCTATAGGGGCTTCGGGCTTGGGATTTAAGCCACTTAGGGTTGCACGTTTCGCTCGTATTCGGTCTAGGATTCAGCGAAAGAGGGCTGGACCAAGTCCCCCCAAACTGGCAAAAGCGAGCCACGGGCCCTGAAGCCTCAGCCATAAAAAACATCCATTCAAGCACCAGGCCCGGAGTTTTTGGCCTGTCGGGCTTTGGGGCGTTGGGTTGTCTTGGGCATTGGGAGTTCCTGACTTCGGTCCAGAAGAATCGACGAAACTTCCCTTTGCAGCTAGAAACCAGTTTGTGCGGTCTTAACGCACGACGGCTCTGAGTTACCCATGCCCGTAGGCACCCGACAGCGGCCCTGGGAGCCTTTAAAGTAAGTTTCCGGTTGGAATAACTAGCCATATATTTGTGACTTAAGCTCCCTTTTTCATTTGGGTAAAGTGTGTTCCCCAAATGCCCAATAACACCGCAAGCCGTCGTCTCCCAGGTCCTGCTGCCATCCGGATTGAGGAGCCACTTGGACAACCATATCTATATCTACAGGGTTTATCAGGGCCTGTGGGCTTTTGGATGGTTTCCTGTTTACGGACGCATCGTTTTGGGCTGAGTTGTTAGAGCCCTGGCTGTTCGAATAGGCAGTCTCCGAAAGGCAGGTGTTTCGCTTCTGCAGACTAAACTCGAAGTCATCCATCCGCTCGCGGAGGTGCAGGCATACTAGTCAGAGTTATAGTACTTGTTATGTTGGTCGTGGTAGTGGTCGTCGTCGTCGTCGCCGCGAGGTGAACACACTGCTCGGTCATCGCTTGTGGTTGCGTTGCCGCCTGTTGTCACTTCTTCGGAGCGTTCATCTTATCAAGCTGGCCCCAGATAGCCCTTGCAATAGCTCCCGCGTTCGTATTCAGCAATCTCCACCAGTTTGATCCGAGGCTTCAAATACCGGGGGCACAAAGAGCCCACAGAGAGCGTCCAGAACGGGTGCGTCGTGGCATGTTTGCATGCCAGCGGTCCTCAAACTGGTTTGAATGTGAGTACGCTGTTGCTAGTAGAGAGCGGAACTTTGTGCCTCCCAGAATATGCAACGCTTATTTCGTTTCTATACTTGTCTGCCAGATCTTCGGAGGCGAAAGTATCAAACCCAGCCTGCCAAGCTCCTTCCAAGACGGTGTACATGTGAAGCTAATCAACAGTCAGTGTTCTAGGTCACCGGTTTTTCGATCGGACATCACCCCTGGAACTTCCAAGTTAAAGCCCTCTGGGGTCTGACAGGGGACGCCGGTAGAACCAACCACAATTGAAGTACAACAGCTACAGGGCTCCCTGTACAAAGCTTTCTAGCACCGAATGAGACGGATGCTTTCGTCTACAACGGGTGGTCTCTCCACCGAAGTAGTCGGGCAGATGCCAGGAGCGTGATGCGAGTTTACAGCGCTGACGGAGAGGTCGCTGTTGGTTACGCTTGAGATCTTCAGCTCGGATCTCTTGGAGTCAGTGGGCAGGTTTGTTGAGTTTAGGGTTTAGTTCTTTGGTGCCGTGTCCACGGTACGGCCGCATGCTGTCATTTATGGTAGGAATTCCTGTTGTCAGTCCCACTAGGTTTGCTCTTTGCCAGATGGCGAGTTAAGCCAAACTGACCAGCTCGCAGAGTCAAGTTCTTATGAATCTTGTGTTGACTGATTGACGGGGTAGTCTCTTTCTTGAAGTTGACAAAAATGCCCCAAAGCCGGAACATGTCCAGTAGTTTTGAATCAGCTAATCGTGTTTGAGGCCTCTGATCAGGACCGGACGGCAAGTGGATCTTAGGTCCCAAAGAAGCACCATGCACATCTCCCGTCGTACTTACACCTGATGATGCCTGAATTAAACTACAGGGGTGGCTCGAAAGGTGTCAGGCTAAACCGATGCTGTTCAAACCTGAGCCACAGGCCAAAGGATTTCGACAAGGCAAAAATATTACGACCTGAAAAAAATGTTCCGTCGCAGTTTTAGCTTCAGGCTTCTTGAGGTGTCTAGGGGTTTAGGGCACGAATAAATGAAGCTTGTTTGACTTCCTCCCTGGTTTGCACTTCTGCATGGATTTTGTGTGTGTGTGTGTCTCTGTGTGTGTGTGTGTGTCTGCCTGTCTGCGTTCATCCTGGAAGAGCCGAAGCGAGGCCTTTAATGCCTTAAAGCCTCAATGCCATTCTGAAGCTCTTATCCCGAACTTCCAGAGTGAGCCACCAAGTTCCGCTTCGCTCCGAAGGTGCAGCAAGCGCGGTGTTTCTGCGTCGTCGTGCGCGAAAGGAACTGCTCGGGATGCGCATTCAACTAGGCTAGAAGGATCCAACAGGTGCAGTTGGATCAGTCAGACCAGTATCGAAGAGTTACTGAAGGCTGGTCGTTAATCCGAGAAGTTTCCTTGCAGGTAGTCCCCCCAGCACCTGTAGAAAATCCGGACATGACCAACTGCATGGATGGCGGGCGTCACCGCTCTTGGGATCTGTCATTGAATGATTGATTGGGTGTCATCACCATGTGTGCCGTTGTCATTGCTGCTGCTCTTATCATGTTTGTTGGTGCTGTTGTGCCGATTTAGGGAGTTCAGACTTTCGGGAGCAATTTCGCTACAAAACTGGTAATTTAAAACGAACTGGCGCTTGCCCTGATCTACCGAATGTCGCGACTCCGTGCGTGAACAACGCCTGTGTTGCTTCAAGTCCCTAACTGCATAGACCTCCAATGCCCACTCATAGTGTTGAGCCAGGAACTACTACATGGTCTGCGACGACGAGACTCAGAAGCGTGCCTGGATGTTGGAGATCGAGAAAGTCCTTTGTCACAGGCCGGGAGCAGCTGAACAGATAGTGCAGGTTATACAGCAGTCGAGATCATGGCTAGTAACAGTCTGCCGTTATCTGTAGCTTTGCATGCTTGAAGGATTATGAACTATATATAATTATAGTTCCATTATTTCATATTATTTCAAAATCTAACACCGACTTATTAAGTCCTTAGCGCTGTACCCCAAGCCCCTAGACTCGGCCCTAGACCCTAGCCCCTAACTACTTATTACCCCTTAGCCTCAAATCCTCAACCCTAAACCCTAGCTTGCCTCATCTAGGCTTCCCGGGAGGGTTTCGGCGGCCAGATGAGCTTCAGGGTTTGGGGTTTAGGGGTTTAGGGGTTTAGGGTTTCGGGTTTAGGGGTTTAGGGGTTTAGGATTCAGGGATTTAGGGGTTTAGGGTCCGTAACCCTAAACCCTGCGCAGGTAAGTGCACGGGCGCCGCCTCCTTGGTGATGGGTTCCCCGGATCGAAAGCCCCCGATGCCTGAAGCAGCCAGTAGGCTGTCATTTGAAATGGTTGGTACCAACTAGGACAAGATACACTTTTAATGACAGACAGTATACGTCTGAGATAGTAGAGTTGGTCAGAGTAGAGTAGACTAGTGCATGGTGAGGTATGGTGAACCACGGTAGCAACAGAAAGGTTTATCATTTTGGGTCTGGTCTTTTCTCTTGTTCCCCGCCTCAATCAAAAAGGGCATGCGTGGAGTCTTGGCAGCTGGTGCTTTCGACTGCGAGTGCGATGTTGCAAGGGCGACTCGCCTGGCAATGCCACCCCGGAGCCCATGGCCTGTTGACTCTTGTAAAGCCTACCTAAAGCACAAACAAGACCATGACCGATCTTGCACCATAGAAGAGAATTTCTTCAGTTCTAAACATCGTCATCATGTCCATTTTATGATTGTTGAGTAGTGCTGTGCTTTGACTGCTGGCTTAGTCCTGTCATCTTGCCGCACTCACATTTGCCCTCTCTTTCATGCCCCCCTGTGCTTTAGCAAGTTGCATGATTCTGATGCTGTCTATGATTATGAATTATGCTGTTTACCTTGAGCATTGCAACGGCTGGCTGCTTTGGTTCTTGTTATTTCGACTTTCGGATTGACCGAATGTTGTCGTAGCGCCCTGAACTTTGAGCGACACCAGAAGGCCAAGCTCCTGTTTTATTTTGCGTTTCACCTCTCTCTCGCAGAAGCTGGCGGCGCGCCGCCTCCATTGCCAGGACATCCACAGCCTTTCTTATTCTTCTGATCCCAACGAATATCTAATCTAATCCTCTTTTCCCCGCTTGCTCTTACCCTGGCTTGCCGAACTCTTGGCCTTGACATGAAGGTCAGAGATAGTGCAATGGCATAGAGACTGCCGTCATAGAACTCGTGCCGAGCTCGACCATGGATCATCCATTCACTTATTTGTCGCAGTGCTGTGCTTGTACGGTTAGGCAGATTGTTTCAAGAAGAGTAAGTGCGAGTGCCGCATGCATCTGCTGGACCTCCTATGTATACTTATGTTGCTCTTCTACTGCACGATCACATAGAGTTAGTTCGCGGACTCACCTCGGGAATCATGCATGAATTCATACAGGCATCATGTCTTTAATCGATTGGCTCATCGTTCATGCAGGCTCGTCTTCCTGCTAGCATTGCTGCCTCCGGCGTATCATCCTCATCTGCAGTCTTGCAGTTTCCTTGATTATCAACCTCATCATCGACTGCACCATCGCGAGCAGCATCCTTAGCAGTATTCTGTTCATGCTCCTCACCAGCATCATCGTTGTCACGTTCATTCTCAGCATCATCGTCGTGGTCAACCTCGTCTTGCGGGTCGTCATCGTCATCATCGTCATCGCCATCATGCCCATCACTATCATCGTCATCGCCGTCATCAGCAGCATCATACATCATCATGTTCGCTTGACTACCGTGATGAACGAGTGAGCGAGTTACTGCAAAGAGATGTTTCTGTATGCTCTTGTGGGCAATCTGGCAATGGCACGACCTGCAGAGTGCCATCTCGACAGGAAGCTTTTGCTTATCGTCTTGCTGTACAGCTGTTTGCAAAACATGGTGATTGCTGTTGCGGTCACTGACGGGCTACCCTCAAACCGTTCAGGGGCAGCACATCAGGTTTCAATGGTTGATGTCAGGCACAAGAATTTGTGTTTCCATTGTTGGAGTGGCAGGGCTGGGTGTAGGGTAAAGTTTTTCGAAGTTTTTTGCATAGGACATACCTGCCTGGTTATGGTTGGTTTCGGGTTCAGGATTCTGTCTTGGTTTTTGTGAAACCAGTTCAGTTGCTCCATGTGTGCCATGATTGCCTGGGTTCCAGACAAGTCTCAGTTGTCTAGCAAAGTACTCACTAGCAATCCATTAATTTCCTTGCCGTGCTCTCTGCATCCAACGCGACACTTGCGTGTCCAAAAAGAGGACACATGGCACGCCATGAAGCAGTGGTGCCAGCAATGAGGTTTGTCAGCATCTTCATGTTGATATGGCTGGGCGAAGGTGCTAGAATAGTCGCGAATGCTGCAGATCATTCTGCCTGTGTTGCAGCTGATGCAGCCTTGGCTTTCGTGAAGGCTTCCCCAGTCGTGGTGGGCGCAGAGCAGAAAGAAGAATGGCTGGCAATGTTCGCAGAAGATGGGCTCATCCAAGATCCTTTCGGAGCCATACACCAGCAAGGCCGTCAACAGCAGTCTGCTTTCTGGGATACTTTTATCTCTGGGATCAACATCTCCTTTGCTCCACACTACGACATCGTGACCTGCAGTGCTGTCGTGCGCATTGTCAATATATCTGCCATCACTCCCAACGGCTGCCCCACTGACATGCGCACGTTCATCGTGTACGATTTGATTTCTCTGCCCAAGGCAGGCGATGCCTCAGGTGCTATGCTTCCTTCGGCTTCTTCGCTGCAGTTAGCTGGCTTGACGGCACTCTGGTCGCTGCAGGAGCGGTCGGCCCAGCTATTCAAACACGCCTGCGCCCTTAAGGCGACAGCTCAGATGAGCATGCGGATGCTCAAATTCCTTGGCTTTTCAGGAGCACGGCGGTACGTAAAAGGCTTCTTCGGCATCGGCAAGGAAGGACAGTCAGCAGCTGCGGCTGCCTTGGCTGATCTGGCTGGCGCATCTGGGGCGCAAGTGTTCTCAAAGCGCTTCTCTGAAGCAGGGACTCTGACCTTCCACCACCGAGACTCTGACAAGACGTTTGTGGCTCCGGCTGCTATCGCTGCTGGCTTGGAAGCTTGGGGATGCAAATTGCTGGCGCCACCCACCCTCACCGTGCCCACAGCTAGACGAGTTAGTGCCGAGGTCAGCTTTTCCTGTAACAGCTCTGTTGAAAACGTGCCAGGGTTGGCTGTCATTGATTTCGCAGCCGACGCGCTGTCACTTGTGGCTGTAGCCTTCTACGTAGGGATACCCATGCCTGTTGGCCCAGCAACGGAGCCAGCAATCATGTAGTCCGGGTGGTTAGAGACCACCTGCTGCTAGGCCTGGCCATGTAACGAGGGCTGCAAGTGGACAGCACAGATTCAACCAGCTTCTTCTGGTCTCAAATTCATTGGGAGGCTGCGCGCAGCCTCGGGAAAAAGTGTGCCAGAAAGCTTTGGGTCATGATAGTGCTGCTATTCGTGGTGAATCCTGGAAAAGCATCTTGATGCGCCAAAATCTCGGATCATCCTGGGTCTTGGAAACTCCGAAGCTCTCCGAAAGTAAGAAAACCAAGAGTCCGCAAAGTCCCCTGGTATATGCCTGGCCGATTTGATGTTTACATACAGTGTATGTACGTATGTATGTATGTATGTATGTATGTATGTATGTATGTATGTATTTTCACTCACAGCCGTAGTATTACTCAGCAAAAGCAAAGATAGCCTAAAGCCCCATTCCACGCCATGGTGTTGGAGTGGCTCTGGGACGCTTTGCACCCACTGGCGTCGCCCGGACCGATCAGTTCCCCGGGGCCTGGTGCAAGTGTAAGATCTATGGTTGCAGATGTAGGTCCAGGCCTTGTTGTGTAATCATAGGGTTTATAGAGATTAGGTTTTTGTGGGTTCAGGAGTCCGAAGATTCCATGCTTGGCGGCACTTCCTGGCTTCTAGCCTTAGCTCCGGTCCGGAGCTTTTGACTTGTCTGGCGCCCCAAACCGGGGTAGGCCTCCTATTTGGGAAAGCACAGAGAATCCACAGCCACTGACATGATAAAGCCACAGCAGCAGCAACTTGAGTAACATGAGTGAGCTACTGCAGCTTTACTTCAACTGCTAGTCATAGCATGTGGATACGGCTGTCGGCCTTTGAAGATGGCATTCATGCCTACTTGGTTGCAGGCATTGAAACTTAAAAGACCAGGTCAGTGCATCTGACGCCTTCCATGAATGCGAACATCGGGCGTCAGGGTTATGCAATCAAGTTGTTGTAATCCCTTGGCCTGATTCTTAGCGCGTTTCATCTTCTGCATCGGACCATATAAGCATCAGAAGCAGCAGATAGCCCCTCGATCTCCAGGCACCATCCCACAGCGTTCTGGGATGATCAGGCCATGATGCGTGGGGCTGTGGATAGATGCGTGGTGTCTCAGAACACCCTACGCGTTCAGGCTGTTCGTGTCTGTCCCAGGGCTCTGAGTTTGACATCGGGACTTCAGGTTGTTGTCAAAGTTATTGCAATTGTTGAAAGTGATACCAAAAACAAGAGCACTAGCATGATACCTGTGGCAGGAAGCATTGCTCACGCCCTGTCATGGTTTCAACTTCTGCAGCCGACTACCCCCAACTGCTCCGACATCCTTCATGTGTTCGATCTCCTCCCACTGACTTGTTTGTTCCACCCGTGCCCCATTTTGTTCTGACACATCTCATGTCAAGCTGCGATGTTTGGAGGTGAAATGCCTTATGGACAGCTTCAGAGGTGGTTCGTGTCTGTTCAGACGAGTGCATACAGCCCTTACTCTGGCCGAGCCATAGACGGGGTGATGGGGTTGCGCACATTCTTGCGCAAGGTCTTGAGCGGAAAGAAAGTAAACAACAGCAGACTTACGAAACATGGCTGCGAGCGGTAAACATATAAAGAAGCCTTTGCTTTCTAGTGTTTCCCAAAAGACATCTATTCATCTGATTCTATTTTTGACAAAAGGTCTTCTTTAATTTTGAACAGATATACTTATAGGCAAAAAAACTAGACAAACAAACGAACGAATACAGACAAGACACAACCACACAGGATCACGACAAACCCTCCAGAGCCTATGTGGGTTTCCGCGTGGGCAAACAAAAAACGGCAGGGGTTTGGAGAGTGTTGTGGGACATGCTTGTCCTGTGGAACTTATATAAGGGGGAGTAGGGATAGGTTTGTGTTCAGTTTAAGATATCAAAACACAACCGCAACCGGTTGCGCTGTGTGCTTTTCCGCACCCAGGGTGTTGTTGATA